GATTAAAAGACAACCTACTTTTAGCAAAGTAACACTAGTTTTAAATGGATAAAGTAAAGGTTACTTCTTCAAGTGGCGACATTGTCTATTATGCTCTCATTCTAACTCAAAGGGACGAGCCATACTCCGTGCCCCAAATTTTGATTGTATTTCCTCTGGTTCAGTAAACAGGAGCCCAGAACCGAAAAATTGAAGACCTCGTAGAAGTAAAATTTGCACAATCAAATATATCAAACATGAGCGTAGCCACCCATGCATACATGATGACAAGAATGAACAATTATAGGTTCAGTCCATGGATCGTCGTACCTCCCCTGGGTGTCTCTGCTGCTGTGCACAGGTGCACGCCCTTCCCTGTCCTCTTGCTGCCTCCGATCATAACCTTCAGACGCAAAAGAGAAGAAACATAGTAAAAATGAAAGAACAACGCAACAGAAGCTGAAGCTCAACTCAAGTGTATTAGAAAAGAAAAGGCACATGTGCAGTACCTTGTGGTTTGGCCCCAACGGCGTCGAAGAAGCCTCTCTTGGCGCCGGTGGTGGTGCTGGTGAGGCATGAATGCGTGGCGAAGCGCGCCAGGGAGGCCGCCGAGCAGCTCCTGCCTGGGCCAGTCTCTTCTTCGTGTTGGTGGACGCCGGGGAGGCCGAGCTTGAGGTCCAGCTCCTTGTCCTCTTCGTGCTCGGCATCGAGTGTTGGCCTTGTTCCTCCGTGGCCTGCTTGAGCTTCCCTCGCCTGCCACCCCTTGTCATCCGGGATGAGGTTCAGCAGGCGGGGAGGGGTGCCTTGTTCCATTGGACTCGATCTAGACTGTGAGAGGCACAGGGAAAGAGGGTTTGCATATAAGAATGCTTGGGTGGTCTTTGAGAGCCAATTTTATTTAAAATCCTCAGCACCACTGCTGCCACACTCTAACTCTACTATATGATGCAAATAATTAAGTAAAGAGTCCGCAAGCGTCTGCCTCTGCCTGCTTGAAAAGGTTTGAGTTATTTTGCACTCTACTTAAGCTGGAGATAGCGTCAGACGAAGAAACAAACGTGTTGTGGTGTCAAAGTGAAAGCCGGGATAAAAGAGAAAGCGAGAGGGAAGATGTGAGTGGAAAATTAAAGCCTCTTCATGGGTGGGAAGATGAAGATGAAGATGGCCCCTTGCTATCGAGCAACGACAAGACAAAAGCCTCTTCCAAGTGAGTTGGTGTGGAACAAAGAAAGTACTAGGAAGAGTAGTTGATGAACTGCTCAACTTGGCAACTTTTCGTGTGTAGCAGGAGGAGGATTTCACGGGGCGAGAAGAACTCACCGTACCGGAGACGGGGGCTTCAAGGCTGCAACCGGAGCAGTCCTGGCCGGGGCTGGAGAGGTCGAGGAATGGCGAGACCACGTGCCGGCGCTGCGTTGTGGTTTCTCGAGCTGGCCGGTGACCTGCCCTCGCTCGGACCTCGTGGCCGTGGCCTTGTGCTGGTGAGTGGTGGTGATGCCCCTTCTACAGGGCGGCAGCCCCTGTACTATATAGCTCTCTCCTTCCTATCCTGCCCCGGCACTACAGTATTCTTAATATGTGCATATATACTGTATTTGTTTGCTGTTCCGTTTTGCCCAGAGCAAACCAACGGCGCCTTCTTTATCTTTTTTCTTTCTCTTGCGTTGCGTGCGTGTGTTTGCTGTGCCTCTGCTCTGTGCTCTTGCTCTGCGTGCTTGTGTGTGAAACCGGATGGACGGTTATCCGGCCGATTCAGTGGGGTAGGGTATGGCATGCGATTTGATGTGATGGATGGATGGATGCGCTTGTTTATTGGCCTATACTATTATCCGCGCGTGCCTGTTCTACTAGTTGTTGCTGTCGAGTGATGGACTCATGGTGGTGGTGTTGGTCGACAGGTGATGCGATTGCCTCGGATAAGCCGTGTTTTCTTGTGAGAAGCGGCCAACCCCGGCCGGTTGACCAACGCCGGCGTCGGCGTCGGCGCTGGGAGAATCCGCTCCGTCCTCTTTTCTTTTCTTTTCTTTTCTTCGGGAACACCACCACGTTTCCTCTTGATTATTGCTCTTCTTTTCTTTTGGAAGATGCCTAGTTTATCTTCATGAATAACCGGTTCAGTCTGCCACTGATGATTGCAAGTGGACCTGTGGTTGATGCAAGATGGAGAGAGGCCGGGATTAGAATCAGCCGCCGTGCCTGAAAACAAATTAACAAACTGTCGAATTTTGGTGTTGATCATGATGGGCTCAGATCCGTCGCATATAGTGCAACTAGGCTCGCTCGAGTGCTTGTAGTCATTGTTAGATGGTCTACATATCTGAATGTAAATTTTACTTCTAGTGTTTTTTGTACTATCTTGAGAGTTGATGAATAGATGGAAAATTTTCTCGCAAAAAAAATGCAACTAGGTATTGCCGGCCTACATGCAGCGGCCATGACGGAACACACACAGCGCACACACACGGAGAGCCTCCAAGAGGCAACTGCCTCTCGTCCCGATTTGGTTTGGTCACGCAGCGTGCTGAACGGAACAGTGATCGGCGCGAGAAATGCGTGATGCGTTGGGCACGCCCCCGCAGCCACAGCCGCAAATTGGTGCTACAGGACAGGCCACGAGGGTGGACTTTGTGGCCGGCCGGAGACGTGATGTCGCGTGGCGTGCGTGCGTGGTACACAAGAGTGGACTTGGGGCACGCGTATACGTTCGTCCAGTCAGTGGCTCGTGGTCACCACCGGGCAGCCGGCGTGCCGGTAGCGCATATGGCGACGCCACGGTGCGCCTGCCGTGCCGCGTGAACGCGTGGTCCAGCGCCACCTCTGTGCTCGTGCTCGAGGCCGCCAGTCGCCCCAGTGGTCGTGGATGGCCGCATGCGCGCGCCGTCGATCGGGTTCGGGCGCGCGGCGGCGTGTAGACGTGAGCTGGGGATCCGGTGGGTGTGGTGGTGCGAGTCGGCCGCGTTTCTTCCGGGTTGGTTGGTTGGTGCGCGCTGATACGATGCGGCATGGCACTCGCCGCGGCGCCGCGCCGCCTCCATCCTAGACTAGACTTTTGGATCTCCAGCCGCAACCGCCGGTGAACTGACTCCGGCTTCGTGTTTGTCCTGCTGCTGGTTACGGGATCTCAACGATTTTTTCTGTTTCTCGGATAGATTTTTATTTTCAGAAGAAGGATAGATTCTTTTTCTAGGGGAGGCATTTAGCCCAAACACAAGGCATCACCCAACATGGCCCCGTAGCCCAACAACTCCTTATCTCACTCCAGTCCAGTCCAAACACAAGGCAGGCCGTCTTTGCTAGGCGGCGTCACTTTCTTCGTTTCTTCTCCAGTTGCCAAGCCCCATCAAACAAACAAATACCCCATCCGCTCCGATTTACTTGTCGCAGAAACAAACAAAAATAGATGTATACATAAGACTAGAATTAAAATGCGTCTAGCTATCGTAGTAGAAAACTGTTACTCCCTTCGATTCATAATAAGCCTCGCAGTTTTGAACCAAGGTTGAACTTGTTTACGACGAATTCATGAATTTTGTAGACACAAGAATTCATTAGAGCTAGTATTGCCATATTTTAATACTGTTTGCTATTTGCGATGTGAATTTGCAATGTGTGAATATTTGTGAATTGTGAATTTGTGACAATTAGCATTAGTTATAAAAATTAGTACTCAAATGCTGCCATTTTGATATGTTAGAGAAAATAGTACTTCTATGTGTTGAACAACTAGTATAAGTGTGCACGTGCAACACTCGTATCATAATCTATAATAAAAACATCTATTTGGAATCTTATTTCTATTTTATCGAGTTTTTATGCCGAGCCATTTAAATGTATCTCATGCCCAACGATGTTAGCACGCATGTAACACACGATTCATAGACACATCTTCATATAAAATTAACAATCTGATAAATGTATTATAATTTGTTATAAAAATATTTTAAAAAAATAACAAGTAAGCAGCATTATCTACTATTTTTTTCTTTGATGGTGATACTCTCTTGAAGGTCCATTTGTTGATATGATCTATGATGCTTTGTTTCGTAGATGGGATGTTGTTTAGAGGTTCACTCCCTTCCTTCGGTCCTTTTTACTCATCATATAAAATTTGTCTAGAGTCAAACTTCATAAAGTTTGACCAACTTTATAAAAGAATATCAATATTCACAATACAAAATCAATATCATTAGTTGCATCATGAATTTAATTTTCATATTGTATAACTTTAGTATTGTAAATGTTGATATTTTTTTCATATAAACATGGTGAAACTTTACAAAGTTTGGCTTCATACAAATATGATATGCGGTGTAAAAAGGACCAGAAGGAGTACCTCAAAATATGAACAAAACTTGCCACCTCAGTCGAGCTAATACCTTGTAATTGACGTATTTGGACGAATCACTTCATCAGATCGAAGGCAAGAGGCCCATGGAGCACCATCGGCCTCGATGACAATTTCCCCACCAACGTGGGCGGTGGCTCACAATCTGCCGCTCCTGGACTCATGGATGCCTTCCACCATTAGGTTCCCAAATGACCAGTGCACAGTGCGGCTACAGAGCGGAAGCACAAAGCGGCGTGACTATGTGTGGCATGCGCCTCCCATGAGGTCTCTATCTCCTACGCAGCCCCATCCGGTGCATCGACTGCCAACGACAGAGGCGACGGATGACATGACTCGGCTTCTCTGACCGAGGCGAGTCATGACAACCTCCTCCTTCCCTAGTGAGGACCTCCTACGACATACCTACCAACGACGAAGGCGGTGCACGGATCCTCGCGGCCACCGGCGGTGGCTCCCCATCTCCGGTTGCTTCCGGCCCGTCCGCAAGCGGCACGACGACGCCCTCCGCTATGGCCATGTCTGCAATGACGGATGCAACGCATGAGATTACATGTATCCCAACATGTTTGCTCTTTTATAAGTAATAAGTGTAGAAGTGTAGATGTAGATGTAAATTATAAGTAGTGTAGAAGTGTAGATTTGTAAGATGGTTGCTGAGTTTTTTTCTTTGTAAGGTACTCCCTCCGTCCCATAATATAAGAAGTTTTCAAAAACGTTCTTATATTATGACGGAGGAAGTATATTTGAATCCAACAATAGAAGTTTTATGGCATACAACTTATATTTTGTTGGTCAAATCTACTGTCAAATTTTGCAAGAAATATGAAAGGGACCAATAAACCCAGAAGGAGGTAGTAGTTTGTATTAGCTGAATCATATGGTTTCTTTAATAGAAATCAGCGGAGGCCTCTCTTTTGATAAGAAATGTTATCAAATCCTCATCAAATATTTATGTTTTTTCTTAGTCAGGTAATCCATAGAAAAACACCCACATGAATTATAACGTGTTCATGAAAAACAAGAAAGATTAAATGCAGATAAGATATACCCCATGGGCTGGGAACATAGAATGAGGATCACAAAGCACACCAATGCATGCACGTCCCTCGTGGCTCTTTCGATCAGGTGCGGTAAACCTTCTGTGACCGTGTTCGTTTTGGTCTCTGATTGCCCTCTATAGCTTCAGCCACGACACTCGATTGGCGCTGCGCCTGCTGGTGACTGCGAACTCGCGGCCGCCTCGAACGACAGATGTAGCGATATAGGAGTATATGGTCAACGACACTACATGATCGGGCTTCACCAGTTATGCGTCCCATGTCTCCAGATTCGACATGGTAGGCGTGGATTATCGGCCGGTCTAGTTTGCCGTCGGCATCACTGCAGGAGTAGATGGTGTCAGCAGGGACATGAGAGGACAGCCTTGCAGGCACCGAAACCACAGGGCCCTGCACACTGTAGCCAT